CAGCTGAAAGCAAAAGCGAACTGCGAAATGGCGATGGATCTTTGACCTAAGCTCATGGACTCGCGAAATCTCGCGAACCTGGCGCATACAAAGCGTACAACTTTTTCGGTGTCGAATGTCCTGCGCTTGCCCGAAGCTGCGCCAATTTGGCGCCAAGCTTCAGTGCGAGGGTTGCTTTGCACTGAAATTCGGAGCCCGGGGGCAAGCACCTTAGTGGGCCCCTGACAACTCAATCAAATGTAAGGTGAGACTTGGCCTGGACTAGCTGAAAGAATGGAAATCTTCCAAGCTGAGGAAGTTTCTATTTACACCTGTGCCTTTGAAAGTCGCGCTGAAGCCTGTCAATCCTCTGGGGAGGTGCATGCGCAGCACGCGGGCACCAGCTGCGCCGATTGCTGAACAACCTGCAAAATGTAGCTCGATCCTCTCGAGGCTCGGCGGCAGGAAGGAGGCCAGGGCAATGAGTCCCGTGTCGGTGATCTTGACGCAACCAATAAAGTCCAAGTACAAACGCTTCAGGTTTTCCGGGAAATGCGACCTGAGCTTGCAGTTTACCCTAGCTTTATAGCTCAGTGGAAATTACCTGGTGGTCCTTCAAAGCACGACCGAAGCGGCCAAAGCCGGCCCACTCTAAAAACCATCATTGACACGCCACAGTACACAAAAGCAAAAAGTCTTCCAGCCAGGGTGCCCGAGTGCTGACAGGCTAGCATCCGTAATTTTGCTGCACCCCTCAAAGCTGAGTCGAAGGACCCGTAAATTTGCGGGCAAACCACCGGCCAGGATCCTCACGGTCGAGTCCACACAGGTCTCCTGACATGACAAGTTGGGCTCAGCATGCTGCGAGTGTGTGGCATGGCTGAGACAAACTTATACAGTCATGGCACGGCTTGAAGCAGCGACAAGTGACAACGGGGAGCTGTCTTGATCTGGTCAGTGGCAAGCACTGGGCAGGCGCGCATGGGCCGGAAGGTCACATGATCAGGGCGTGAAAGCAGCAAGTCACAAACATAGAAGCCCCTGATCCCACCCCCCATTGCTTTCATCTTGGCAGGTGCTCCCTTTGGTTGTTTTGGGCAGGCTCGGACCATGTCGTCCAATCCTCACAAGCAGGCCCTCTCGCCATTGCCATGGTTGCCATGTGCCGTACTTTCCGACTATCTGGCGCTTTTGCCTTGCTTTGGCCTGCCTTGCCTTGCCTGACCTGCCTCGCTGCTTGGCGCACCTTGCCTTGCCTGCCGAGCCTCTGCCTTGCCTTGCCTTGCCTGTCGGGTTTGCGAGTGGCTTTCGGTTCTTGGTGAGAGCTTTGTCCAGCGTACTTTTGAAGCTGATCCTGTGTACACGCAGGCCCTGACAATCCATGCATTGCAGGCGCTCATCCCTTCCATCCCAGTTGTTTTCCTACTCCTATTCCCATGGTGCTCAACTATTCGCAACAAGTATACGTGCCCGGGAGCGCAAGCAATCTGTTCAAGCGCAAACGACTGGCCGATCCGCTTTCACGCCCCAATTTGGCCAAGTTTCTTGTCACCAGACTTAGACCCCCTGCAAGAAGCTACTTGTTGCTGGTTGAAAGGTGACATGATGCAAACCCAAAAAAGGAGAAAATACAAGGTAAGCAAAGTCTGGCAATGAAATGTCCAAGAGGGCCTACATGCTCCAGGCCCCAGTAGAGCTTGGACTCGAAACCTTCTCGTCAGATAGCTTGACCCGCGACGCCCGAAAGCAAAAAACAAAAAAAACAACGGCCCGAGGCGGTCCTCGAAGTGGGCGAGGCTCAGATCCAAGGATTTGCGGAAGGTGTCTGCCTTCAAGATCTCCGGCAACTTCACGCGCACACCTTGGCCCTTGCTGAAGTCCAGCAGGAGCCCCCGCTGCATTGCCTGCGGCCAGGCCAGGATGGCAAATGTGGAGTGGAGGGAGTCGTTGGCTCTCTTCAAGTTCTGCTCCAGGAGCTCCTGGCCTGCGGGGGTCGCCAGGTCTGCTTGGCTCGCAATCTCGAAGAGGATGCTCTCCTTGTCCTTTTGCACGGTCGCATCACCGTTCTCCAAGCTCACCTTCATCCCGTGGAGCAGCAGCGACAGCGGGAAGTTCTGCTCGCGCACAGACTTGGCGACGGCAGATTCCCCGGGCAGGACGTTCTTGCTCAGGAGCTGTGCTCCTGCCGGCTTTTTGCGGCCGTAATGCACCTGGGTCACAATATCTAGCTCCTTGTAAGGATCCGTGATGGACTGGTACAACTCGTAGTCGCACCAGATCCTTGAGAAAGGAGTTGCTGCTGCATCCAGGATCAACAGCAGGCCCGAGGCGATGTTCAAGGCCTTGTAGAAGGAGGACTGCGTAATGTCGCCCCCAATCTCCAGTTCAAGCTCGTGCTGCCGATTTGCATACCCACAAACCCAGTAAGTGGCAGCAGCATCCTCCAAGCGCCGCAGAAGCGCTTGCTTCTGGCAGCAGGCGACGAAGGACGTGATAGGCTCCCCCCACCAGTGTGAACCTAAGGATTTCTGTAAGCTGAAGTCAAACATCAAGCAATCGCAATCAGCAAGAGAAACCTATACTCACACGGCATTCCCAAGATCAACTGAGGCCTCGGGCAATACCACAGTGGCCGGCAGGGCTCTGAAGAAAGCCACTCCTTGTAGCTGAAAGTATGGTCACATAGAAGCTGGTGTGGTAGGCCAAAGTCAGACGCCTCAATGAAGACACTGCCATCAGCCGAGTTTGTGCTAAATCGCCCCTGACTCAACTGCACTGTGACTTCAATCTCACCATCCTCACACTCTTCAACTTCAATCACAGTGCCACACCCGGCCGGCAAAGATGCATCTGGATTGGCACCATGCTGAATGATTTGCTGCCCGGGCTGTGGAAGACTGACCGCGGCACTTGGCCGAAGTTTGAGGACTAGGCCTGGCGCGGTCGTGGGCAAAATGTGATGGTAGCTAAAGTGATACAGATTCAAGTCATTGGTAGAAATTCGCTTTCCACTTATCTGATCAATCCAGCCGTGCCGGCTTTCCAGCAGCGCATCCGAGGATATGCGCTTGAGCTCTTGTAGCGTGACGGCGCGTTCCTCTGCCTGCATGTTGGTGCGATAGTGCCTGCTGAAGGAGTGACTTTCACTGGCCCGATGAAAGACATCGGAGACCAGCACGGACTCTCCTGACATGTTGTACTCAGATTTTTCGCTGGCGACCTTCCCCACACGGAATTCATCTAAGGCCTTGCTCCTGGTAGATGTCACCCTCAGCAGTTCTCGCATCAGCTCCTTTTGGTGCAGCATGGCCTGATGCATCCACTCCTGCTCCATCTGCACCCTCACCATGTCCACTGCCTTTGCGCCGCCCCTCAAACGCAAGCATCCCAAAAGAAACTCCGAATGCTCAATCGCGCCGGTGCCGTCAGAGTCCAACACTGAGAACAGCCCGACGGCATCTGAAATGTCTAACTCCAGCGATGACAAGAAGGCATGCATTCGCTGATCTTCCAAGGCAATCTGAAACTCTGTCCATGAGATGGCCCCATTGCCGTTCTGATCGAACTCCTGGAAGACTGAATTCATTTGCTGTAGGAACTCCTCCTTTGATTCAATTTCTGACTGAATGAGGTTTTCCTTCTCCTTTCTGCTCACTTTCTTCTGCAGGCTAAACAGGAAGCTTGCCATCATGTTTCCTAAAATGATCATTGAAAAGGATACGTAGAGTAGGTAGCTGGCAAGGAAAAACCAGGTCCAGCCCTGCATGACATCCCACAGCTCACCCCAAAGTACGCCGTTGTACAGAATCTGGTACAGAGTTAGCATGGATTTCGTCAATGTACCGAACTTTCGGCACAGCAGCTCGACGTGTTCCTCTTCATGGCAAGTGGGCCACACACCCTCAGTGAGGATCAAGCTAAACACGTATATGATACTGAATGCCAGGGTCATGAGCCAAAGCATCATCTTGGAGCTCTCGCCGATAGAGGCGACTAGGATTCGAATCTGCCGAAATTGTGGCCATCTCGCAAAGTACTTCGCCAGCCGCATGATGCGGAGAATGCGGAGTAGGCGCAATGTGCGCAAGCCAGACATGCTCGATATGAAGCTGTCCGGCGTGATCTGCGACACGATCATCAACACAACGAGCACAAAATCCAACATGTTCCACCATCTCATTGCCCCGAGCACGAATTGAATCTTCTCTACACCAATACGCACCAGAAGATCCAGCGAAAAAACTATGCAAAAGGCCAACTCGACATCTGCTGCCCATAATGGCTCTTCAGAAGTGATACTGGTAATTTGCTGGGTGATACCCAAAAGGCATGCATAAAGGAAGATCATTGCCATGGTAAACATATCATATGCCAGCCACACGCGCTTCCACCTGTCGGCCTTGTTGTCATCGGACCAACTGCTGTCCAAGGTGCCATGCGTTTTCCCGTCTACCTTACCAAAAGCGGGAGGAGGAGTCTCTTTGAGAGTGTCCTCCACCAGATTTCGGACATAGCTGGGAACTTGTCCTTTCAAACCCTTAGCTTGCATGACCATCGAATCCTTCGGTGAATCTGGCACCCGAGGAGAACCTCCATCCAGGAACAAGGTATCCGCTGCACGGTGGTTCACCCAGCTACGTTCCATGGCTTGGTCGATGTGGGCCTTGATGCGCCTCTCCTGCTCTGCCAACATGGATTGCAGCTTCCTTGTTGTGGGCAAACCATCTTCCGGACCTTCTCCCGGGTTCCACTCGGGCTGCGCCGGGCCCGGCATGGCTTACACTCGAAACAAAAACCTACGAGCAGCTTGAAAATGGATGCAACATGAAAGGGAGCGCTTGAGCGGCTGGGGGACAACATTCCAGGGCAGTCCCGAATTCTCTTGACCCATCAAAAACCGCCCCAACACCCTAGTCTGGCTGTCATTGTTCCAAGAAGAAAGACCCCTTGAAAGGAGAAAACGGCGCAGCAACAAAATCGACTGCTTTTGAAACGGCGCAGAACCAGACCGTGGCACTGGCCTCTTCGCCAAGTGCGGGTCGCCAAAGTCAACCTTGCAAAGCAAAAGGTGCGCCCTATTGGGTCTTTGTTTTAAAAAAAAATGGGTTGGTGCTTTCCCGACGGCAGCGCGAAGAGCTCTTCAGGAAAAACACCAGCCCGACTCCCCCAAGCGTACTTGCGCCAGCAAACTTGCACAGGTGCGTTTGCGCGAGCCATTTCGCAGGAGCGATCTTGCGACGAGCTCTTGCACGAGCAAATTTGGGCGAGCACGCTTGCGCGAGCATGTCCTCTGGCAGTGCCTCGAAGCAAGGCCAACATGGCGGGCTGGAATACCAAAACGGTGCGTGTCTGGCAATACGGACGCGCTTCAAGACAGCTTCAAGCATACCACATTGCTAGTTGCGTCGTGTTGCTATCTCTCCACCATATGGGTGTAATTTACTTAGGCCGTGGCTCCCTCAGGCGTGCACGAGCAAATTCTTTTCAGGCAGTGCGAAGAGACCGAGCCCACTCTTCACAGAGTGTCGCTCTCTGCAGGGATTGGCTCGGTGTGCAAAAACTGAGGACGTCCGCTACTCTTTGAGGTGCGTGGTCAATGCACAAAACTACTTTTTTGAGGTGCCCGGTCAGAAGTCAGCGTCGCAAACGCGAAAAAATATTGGACTTGTACAAAACCTGAGGATGCCTGCTACTTTTTGAGGTGCCCGCGCCCGGTCGATGTGCAAAAACTGCGGGTTGAGAGGCCCGCGCACGCGCACGCTCATCGGCTTGGTCGATGACTTTTGCTGCTTCTTGAGGCGCCCGGTCGACCCTGCGTGGATTGGCGTGGTCAACGTGCAAAACTTGACACTTGCGCAGAGCAGCTTGCACAGAGCACTGCGTTTGCACAGAGCAACGGAGAGCACTTGCACAAAGCACTCGCTGGCAACTCGCGCGGTTGGGTGCCAGGCTCTTTTAAGGCATGCCATTGGCAGCCACCGCGAACAGATGTGACACCGCTTGCGGCATGTGAGATGTGGCACCACTTGCAGCATGGCTTCTCGTGGGCTGAGTGCTTGGTGCGGCGATTTTGGCGTCCAACCACATCTAAGTAAGCACAGGTTGACGTCGACCTCAAGTTCAAGTTCAAGCAACTGCAAGGTGCAATACAAGGAGCGAGTTGCAAGGTGAAGGAACGTGCAAGATGCAAGGTGCGAGGTGCTAGGTACAAGGCGCAAAGATGGCCCGGCGGCAAGGTGCAAGGTGCAAAGTGAAAGGCAAGGTGCAAGGTGTTTTTGTGTGTGTGTGCATGCACTTAAATGTCAGACGGCTGCATTGCTCGTGCGCTTGCCCAAACACGCACGCCAAGTACATGCTTTCGGGCCACCTATCTTCTAGTTGTATCAACCCAAAAAAAAAAAAACGCAGGTGCATCACTCTTTTTCCCCCTGCGCACCTGCGCCAGCAAGGGGGGCAGGGAACCATCCGGCTTCCTCAGAGATTTGAATCGCAAAGCTCAAGAGACCATCGGGACTCGCCTCACAGGCTTCTTGCGCTTCCTGTTCGCCCACATCCGAAAGGCGGGGTGCAAGGCTCCTGGCAGAACCGAGCCCTCGTGTGGCGCTGGGTTGAGTGAATCCGCCCGGCCTTCTTGCCAATCCAGCTCGTCCACCAATTTCACCATGTCCGGAAGCGCCTACCGTTGGCGGTTGGCGGACTAACATTTCTACACAACCTAGACGCTCCAGGCCTGGGGCCGGGAAGACTTGCTGGGGGCGCGCGAAGCATCAAGCGCGTCTTCGGCAAGGCCGACGTCCATGGGCCTTCGTGGCAAGCGCAGCTGTAAAACAAAATTTCTCTCACACCTTGGCCCTGAGGTGCCAGCTCCTCGAGCCCAGACTCTGACCTGATCGAGCTGGATCGTTTTGGAGCCGAGGGAGCTGGTTGCACGGAAGGAATGTTTGGAGGGAAGGCATGCCATTCAGAACTCAACGTGTCCAAAGGCACCCCGTCCACTCATCGAGGAAGGAAATGTCGTCTGTTGATAGGATGCCCCGTCCATTAGTGTCCAGTGCCTGCCGAAGGCACATGCCACGCCCTCATTTGGCCCCTCACATCCACTGCTGCCTTGAATGCCAACTTTGCTGCTCCTTTGAAGCCATATGCTCGGCATGCCCTGGGTTGACAGCACTGAGCCATCTGAGTCCAAGAAACAAATGCATCTGCGTGCACTTTGCGCAGTGCGGACCAGCAGCTGTTTGAACTCAAATGGTGTCACTTCATTGGACCCATCATCATCAAGAACCGTGAAGCAGGTTTTCACCTCAGCTCAAGAGCCTTCTCGATTCCAGCAATGCGTCCAACGCATGGCGGTGTGACATCGTCTTAACCCCTCTAGTGCTCAGGTCCCAACACTGCCAAACTGTTCCACTGCCCAATCACGGAATTCCGCCAGTGCTTCACCAGCAGTTGGGTCAACATCCTGGAGCGTAAGAGATCCTCAGCCATGCACCAGGGACTGAGAGACCATGATGCAGCATCCACACTGGGCCTCTATGATTGGTTTCCAGTCAATCTCAAAGCGCCCAAACATATTGACGCAGCAGTGGTCACACCAAATGTGTCCAAGCAGCCTGCACGCCGAGATTCGAGTGCAACCCAGGCGCCTGGCATTGAAACACAAATGATGATGCCTGGGAGGTAGTGACGGCCCCCCATCGGAATTGTCAACCTGCAAGATGCTATGGTTCAAAAAGGGAGGAACCCATCTTGAACCTCCTCCCAGTTTACAGCTCAAATCCGCCTGGAGCATCCTCCTGGCAGCCGACCTCCTTGCAGGCATCCCGAAACTCTTCCCACGAGCACATGTTGTTGCCTTGGCGCATAGATGATTGGAGTCGCCAACCGACCAGCCAGCAAGCAAATGTGCATCCCGCGTTGAAGAGTCAATAATCCTTGGTCCCCTACTCGACTTATCCAAGCAGAGCCTCCATGCGCGAAGAAAACTGCCATATTTCTTCAGTAGCCTCAGCCAGCTCTGAAGTCTGTATTCTCTGCTCGTGCAAGGTGCATTGACTTGCTCAAACACTTGGCACCCAGCCTAGATTTCACCTGAGCAATGCCCGAATTTGGCAAATACAGTCGTTAGACCTTCGGCAGTCAAGGCTGCCGCTTGGTCAGCAGCTGCATGATTGGCCTCTGCCGTGAGGAAAGCGCGGGGCTTCCACCTGGGGTTAAATGACCCATCGGATCGCTGCTAGAAGTCAAAGCTGTCAGTCAGCTCATAAGCTGAGCTCAAGATGAGTGCCAGTCATAAAAGGTACATATCAAATCCTGTGTGGGAACCTGTAGTCCTGAATTCGAAACCTTGATGTTAAATGACAGGTAAGCATCTTTCATCCACTAGGAACATGCATGCTGCCCCATTCAAAGAGCAAGGCAACCACTGACGAGTTCCAAACTATAAAAACGAGCAGACAAGCTAGACGAGAGCTAAGCACGCGGCGTGTCGAGAAATCGCATGTCCTGGTTACACGAATGCACCAAGGCCTGAGAACCCCTTTTCGGTTAGCTTGCAAGGGGAACCAAAAAAACCCATCCCCCTTCTTGCGCAAGCTGGGGCCCTACACATGTGGTTTGCCCCTATAACTTTGCCCACATAAAGCTAAGCAGGTGGCTAGGGGTCTCCTTAGGCGGGGAGGCCCCCTCAAGGCCCGCGATTGCCGGCAAACGACCCTGTGTAAACAAATTGCGGGGGGCTGCTGGTCAAACACATTAGCAAAAAATCCCCTCACCCACCCGCCCCCTAATACATGTCCAATCTGTCCCCAACCTGTCTCTAACAAAGGCACGATAAGTTCGCGTTCCCTACTGCAATCACTGGCAAGCGGGCCGGATATGGAGTTCCAAGACTGAGAACTTTGTACAGGAATAATTAGAGTCCTGATTTTTGCCCCCCTGGTCCCTACCGCAGTGGGAGTCCCGGGCTCCAACTCGAATGGGCGCAAAGCAAAAAAGCAAAGCAGAAACAAAAAAACACTCAAACATAACAATACTTTTGCTTTTCATCATCTTGACAATCTCTACTATTTAAGTAAATTTACCTCCCCAATACTTCAGTACGTTCTTGAAACATCTCTTCAAAATTTCCGTACAAATAAAATCCGCTTCGTTGGGCAACACTCTGGTTGGCAAGTTGCCCCTTGCTGCTCTTGGCACGAACTCTAGTCGCAGCTCACTCCCGAACACACACGACACACGAACAAACAAACAAACAAACAAACAAACAAACCAAACAAACAAACAAACAAACAAACAAACAAACAAGCAAGCAAGCAAGCAAGCAAGCAAGACGCACACAAACACCCAAATACAAACACACACGCACACCACACACACACACACACGCAGACACAGACACAAAACCGCCAAGCAACCAAACACACAGACAACCAGCAGAACCAAGCAAACAACAAAGACACAAACAAACAACCAACCAAGCAACCAAACAAAAAAATCAAACAACCAAACAAACAAACAATCAAACAAACAATCGAACACAAACAAACAAACAAACAAACAAACAAACAAACAAACGAGCAAGCAAGCAAGCAAGCAAGCAAGCGAGCGAGCGAACGAACGAACTAACAAACAAACAAACACACACACACACACACACACAAACAAAATCACACACACACACAAACACACAAATACAATCACACACAAACAAAAGACAAACAAACAAACAAACAAACAAACAAACAAACAAACAAACAAACAAACAAACAAACAACCAAACACACACTTGATATGAGACGGCGAAACTGACAATGTGCACCCCCATGCAGGCACAGGCTGTTTGAAGGTCTCCGGCAGGGCAATGGAGTTTCGGCACCGAGCAAGTCTAGACATCTTTCGCCAACGCACTCTCCTCTTCCGGACCGCCAGCAGTGCGTTAGTTACTCCATGCTAGATCATCCAAGGCGGTGGCGGCCGACTCCAAAAAGAGAGAGAGAACACCGCGGAAACCCCTTAGGAACAGGGGGGCCACACACACACACACACCCCGCAGGGGGAGAACACAGAAACCGAAAACCGAAAACCGAAAACCGAAAAGCCGCCTCCATCATGATTCTCGATGGGTGATTTGGTCACTTTTTAACTCCTGCCTGTGCTCGGCTGTTTGCGGACATTTTTATATGTGGCTGCGCTGGCTACGTTCAGGTAGTCTTCTGATTCTGTTCCCGAGCTTCCTGAGGCGTTCCAGGCTCTTCCAGCGCTGCGTGACATCCGCGATGGACCGGTTGAGCTTCTTGGCCAGCGACCGCTTTCAGGCTGCAAAGCTGCTGGTCATCTTCTTCTGTCCAGGCACGAGGTACTTCCGGGGGAGTTCCTGGGTTGCCGGCATCGGAGTGAGCATGAGCAGGAGGTTCGGGAAGGGATTTAGGAGAGGAGAACAGGCCAGCGCAAGGAGAGACCGGAGCTGGAGCTGGAGTGCGAGGCGCTGGACGTGCTGGAGGTTCCGGGGAGTTCGTCTTCTCGGAGGATGTAGCGCGGCATCGCTTCCGTTTTGTTCTGCGTCGATCGGTCCCACCCTTGTCCATGATGGAGCGGGGAATATTGGCCTTCTTGATGCCCGGCTGACCAACGTAATCGTGCACCATGGGGCTCTTCGAGCGCGGATCTATAGAGTCGTTGGTGTCCCCCGCGATGGTGCAATAGGACAACGACTTGGGGTTGACCACCACGTTCCGCCTGTGGTCTGTGTGTCACTGGAGTGACTGGAATCCGACATGTGGTGGAGGGTCGGTCGGAGTTGCCGGGTTGACTGGGTTCAGCATCAGCGGCCCAGGTGGGTTGATCTCATCGACTCCAGCAGGAGCAAGTGCGTGTGGCCGCGATGACTCGGCCAGCGACCGGCCGTGGGCATATTATTGTTGCTGCATGCGATCTTGCCCGTCATGGTGCCGGCGACTGTGTGCCTCGTCAGCTTGGTTCAAGGTCTCCTAGATGAGCTGCATCATGTCAGCAGCGTTCTGAGTCATGCGGTGTTGAAGCGCTATCATGCGGCCGAGCATGGCGACAGCTCTCTAAGATCAGCAGGAAGGGCAGCACTGTTTGAGCCAGTGTATGAGCACCATGGTCAACACGGACATCAAGAAACAAAAACCCCAAGGACATACGCGGACACAAGGGTGCAAAAGCCAAAAAGAGCCAAAAAGGCCGAAAAGAGCCAAAAAGAGGGACAAAAAGAGAGCCGCAAAGCCAAACAGCTAAAGACCGGCGCTTGAGAGTTCTTTCGTGTTGGAGTCGCCGGTAGATGAAACAGGTGTTGCAGGTCAGCTGACTTGTAGCCGGCGGACAAATAAATACTGCGAAGCTGATCCCATGCCATCTGCACTGCTCTAACCGGATGCGCGTACTTGGTGGCGAGGGCTGACCGTGACCTAGCTCCGGAGAGAAGGGTGGAGAGGCTTCCAGCAGTACGTGGTCCTCTTATCTGCCAGATTTTGCTAGGGGTTTTGTAGTAAATCGCCCGGTCGAGGAACTCTGAAGACCCCACTTGTTCCAGCACGATGGGAGCACCGTAAAAGTCAGCCTGGAGCAGTGCCTCCAATGGGGCTGCCGGGTGACCTGAGGCTGGAGAAGGGAAGATGACAAATCTATTGTCCACATATCGCTCCAAAAGGACGCTGTGACTGGTGAACCATTGTCCATAGATACGCTGCCAGATGACTTCGTGCCTTGCGACGCATATGTGGCTGAGTACTGGGCTCAGCTGAGAGCCAATTGCTGTACCATGGACTTGGCGCATGATGAGGGTCCCTACTTAAACATACATGCATTGGAAGCTGGACTTGACGATGGCTAGGATGTCCTCCATGTGGATGATGCGCGTGGTCGGTGTGCGTCCGTAGGATTGCTTGCCCGCAAACACTCGATTGTAGCGGGCAGCTGCCTGGGTTTCCACTGAGTACACGAAACTGGGTCGTCCTCGCTGGTGCTCGGCTAGTAGCTGCTCAACCGCTGCACACACTTGGTCCTGAGGGACACTGTTGAAGAATCCGACCAAGTCGTCATTGTGGAAGGCAAGGGTGACTGTGTCGTCTGTGTTGTCCAAGTACTGCTTGATGTTCTGCCATATGCGTGGTGTGGGGTGTATCCCCCATGAGCATTTCCATGTGTCTGCTGCAATCTCGCCGAGAAGGATGGCGACTGCCTTGAAGAGCAGCCGGTGCACCACCTTGTGTTTGCTATAATGGTGCGGCCCGACTTCCATTGCTTCTTGCGTTTGAGAAAGACTTTTCCAACTGGGATGGAGGTGGTCTTCTTCCGGTACGCATTTGTACCTCTGCTGCAGGTGCCGCGGAATTGCCTCAAGAATAATAGCCTCGGCTTGATCGGGCTTCAGTGTAGTGGCTGCAAAGGTGCCGGACTGAAGCCAGGTGTTGTGGAGGCCCTTGAAGTAGAGTTGAGGGCAGAAGAACATGAGGTGGTGGTTGTCGTGATCTTCGTTGTGGCATACAAAGTCTTGGCCAAGGTGTCGATGAAGGATGTTGAGCTGATGCTTGGTAAGGAGCTGATGGGTGGATGCGTGCTGCCGATGTTGCTGGAATTGGCTGCGTAGGTGCTCCATGAGAGGGGCGTGGAACTGGTCCAGGGGGAGTCCGTGATGCAAGCACCATTTCCGTAGGCGTTCATGAACTTGCACCTCGTAGACCGCGAAGTCCACATAATACGACGCCAGCGCTGAGGTGTAGTGAACGTGATGGGGGGTACCAGGAAACCGGAACTCATCTAATCCCGCTGCCACATGACTTTGAACATGGGATAGCCAGGGCTGACTTTTGAGCCAGGCGTCGCATTGGCACGATGATGGCCCAGAGGATGTCAAGGGATAGCAGTCTTGAAATGGCGAGTAGTTCCACATGACTGTGTGGACTCGGGGATGAGGAGTCTCAGCAAGCTTCGTACTGGGTAAGTGGAATGGAAGGGCCCAGTTGCGGCGGTCGATGACGAGACGACGAAGAACTTCTCGGGCGGTCCGTTGATAATCTGGGTGAGACAGCCACGGTACTCGCAATAGTAGGTTGATCCTGGGTTGCTGAAGTTGTCGAAAATCAAGAACTCGTCGAAGAATATTGCGAACTCGATGCCGATGAGGCTGTTCCACATTGCCGGACAACCTGTAGATGGCATAAATGTCCAGGTCCGAGTGCCGTCCGCTGCGAAGTCGTTTTTCTTCTTCCCAGGATTCAATGTGCTCCGAGGTGAGGCGGGCAATGATGGTCCAGGCCTGATTGTGCTTGAGCGCCACTCGATGAAAGTTTCGGCCATAGATGGTGCAGCTCCTTCTTCGCAGCCGAGGGAAGAGGCGTTTGCCGAACCTGGACCAGGGTTGTTCAGCGAGAAACCTGGTGGCTGTGTATCCGGTGGAGATACGCTTGTATCGCCGATGAATGTAGGGCCAATTATAAGCGACGGCTGATAAATGCTGATCAAGGCATGTTCTTGAGTCCAGG